GGCGCGGGCTACAGCTTCCGTGATGAGACCTTATCTGTTCCTGTTATATCACCAGAATTGCGTTTCCAGTTTAGTTTAGTTCTTTCCTGGGTTGGCAAAGTATATCTCCCCTTGCTTAGGACTTCTCCCCCGGCACTATTCCTGGACTTTAAGTGAGGTTTCTCAGAGAGCCTCCAAAGCTGCTGCTATCTATCTGCCATGTTCTCCCGGAAGTCGAGATAATAATTTTATAATTTGAAAATTTAACTGTTTCAAACAATCTTCAGAATTCATGAGTTTTGTTAACTATTGTGAAAAAGCTTATATGTCCCCCTTAATATCTTCATGAATCTTTAAGGAGACCCAGATAGAGAACCAGAGTTTCAAATATTGAGACTTCAAGGAAGCAAAGGCAAATCAAAGACATGTTCCGATAGCTGGATACCCCTAATATAGATGGTATCAAAGGATCAAAGAGAGGGCTGTTTAATGATTCTTAAATTATTATGATAAAATTTAGTGAAAGAAGATTAGATAGTAAGATAAAGCATCTTTTAAATTAATTGGCATTCCCATTTTCATATGCTGGCATTTTATCCTATTTTTATCCTATCCTATTTTGTCCTATTTATTATTAATAGATCATTCATAGATATTAATTAGACATTTTCTCCACTTTTTTATAAGTAAATCACAGTATAAAATTTAACTTGTTGAACAAGAAATTATTAAGGAAAAGATTCCAGCACTCACCAAAATACTTAACAGAAATTTGCTTTTGAATTTAAACTTTTTTTTACTGTCCTTAATGGCTTTCCTTTCTTGCCCTTTTGTGAACTTCAGGTCAAATATTTTAATGGAGAAATAACTAAACAGTTTTACATTTAATGTATAGATTTTTTCATGACATGAGTAATAGAAATTATTTTTTAATAGTGTTATTCCTCTGGTTTCACAGACAGACCATAATACTATAGAAAGTCAGGGTAGAGATAAAAGAGGTTTATTTCTGTAGTCTAACACAGCTCATAAAAATTACATAATGAAAACTGGCTATTTTCAATTTTACTCGGAAATAATTTACAGAATTTGGGGAAATTTCCATGATTAAACAGAATTTCAATTGAAAATTTACTTATTTTAGGATATTAAGTAAGTCAAGTTGAGAGCGACTATTTCTCCTGTTTAAAAAGAGCTAATGTGAAATCAAATTTAAATGAACCTTGCACTAACAAGGTATATAGACTGCTACATTGTACATATTGCTCTAAAATACTCTTTAGTTAGCTCTATTTACAGTAAGTTATAAGGATCCCTTTGCGTAACTTTCCAAAGGAAAGTAGAAGGGAAAAAGAGAGAATAGAATAACTCAAAATAAAATTACCCCCTCCCCCAGGAAATGGGTATAGTTGCTCAAGAGATTTCTGTTCCTTGTATCTTTTTCTGTTGTTACGTTGAGTAGGTTTGGCATTTGTAAGTTCTTGGGAGGTCTTTAGAATAATAACCAGTACTTCAGAAGTTTTCACAATCTAACCTATAAAGATTAGGAAACCATATATGAATAAAAATGATTGCAATACAACCAATATTTAGTTTAAAAGTCATTTTGTTAAAAAACAAAGTGCATTTACCACTATGGTTTTACTTTTTATTTAAAAATACATTTTCATGTTGGTAGTCTTCATGTAATCAAAAATATAAAATGACTTCTTACATAGAGGAGGTAGAATATAGGTTTTAAACAGTTTAGTGAACCATATGCCTTAGTAAAGATAAATACCTCCATCCTAATAGAGAGCAATGTTGTCTTACTGTGTGTGATGTTCCAGCTCTCACTTAAGTAGTATTGTAGTGATTCACACTGGTCTTTCTTAGTTAAAAAAAAAAAAAAAAAGTTTGAGAAAGGTAAGATTATTAGTTTCTAAAAAGGAACTATGTACTCCTAAGAATTTGCTCACAGTAATTTTGTATATTTAAAAAACTTAATTTTGGTAGAAAATCACTATATACAAATCAGTTTCTTTTCATACTATTTCATAAAAATAACAAAAAACAACATAATGAGAAATACATTATTGTACTTTCCCAAATAATTAGGATCTTCTTTACACTCAGTCATGCCTTCATAAGGTGATCCACACCAATGCCATTTGGCAGTATCCTTGACTTATTATCCCAAGACAACCACGTAATTTGTGTGTCTACCATTTAAGTCAACTCATTTAATTCTGAAAGAAAATGCATGCACCTCAAAATCTGAACACACACAAAGCAAATTTTTGAATCATACAATACTTCAGTTTTTAAATGTGATAGTCCTATATTCCAAAGCAAATGCTAAATGTAAGTTTAAAAGTTAATAAATACTGTTAAATAGTCTAATACATCTAATTTTTAAAACATCTGTCTTGGATAACTTCAATTTAATTTGTTTTTCAGATTCTCAATATTTAATAACCCACCCTGCTAATATTTTATTCTCTGCCAGTCCTGGTATTTTGTTAAAAAAAAAAAAACAGTGCATTTACCACTATGATGTTACTTTTTATTTAAAATACATTTTTATTTTGATAGTCTTCATGTAATCATCAAAAGGTAGAAGTGTGGCAGTTCTACCAGTTTAATTTTAAAGTTCATATCTGGGACATTCAGAGTTCAAAATAGGAATACCGAAACAGATGAAATATGTGAAAATCATTTGTGTTTGCACATTTCTACTTCTGTTATTAACTCTGACCTTGTAATGATGTAGTTTTAAAATACGTGTCTTTATGTTAACTATGAAAAAGAATGACACTTAATATTGTAAGTTTTCAAATAGGGAAAAGTAATGTCATAAAAGTAGTGTCAGAACTGTTTAGAGCCTTGAAATTATTTATAATTTAGTTAAAGGGTTACATCATTGGATATGTTTCTATAAAGAAAAGCACCCTGTTTTTTAAAGATAAGTAGTGATTAACTTTATCCCAGTAGCAATCCCTCACGTTTCACTGTTTCCTGGGATTTTAAAATCATTTTAATTTATGTGCTTCTGCAAAAACAAAAAATTACCAACTAAGCTATTATATACTTTCCAAGAAGGAAAAGAAAAAAATGTGTAATCTATTAAAGAGAAGAAATATAATCATCTTTATGTCTTTTGTACATGCCTACATCTTCAAAGTCATAAAATCTGTGCAAAAACTTCTAACCCAAAACATGAAACTAAGGCAGAAGATATATTAAGGATTAAATGACCACTTCATTCAATACTATGTATCAACCAAGACCAAAAAAAAAATAGTCTATACTGGATAATCCCTCACCTCAGTGCATTACGATTTTATTGACATTTACATTAATTATTTAATTCTGTGTTAAAACACCAAAGAGCCATTTAAATTGATTTGTTCCCAGTATTTACAAGTGTTGGCCACTGAATATGAATTCCTGTGTTTCTAACACCCAAGCATGGATTGCAACACTAAGATAGTACTGGCAGTACTACTGAACTTCTGCTTACCGGCAAGGTGATTAAAACCTCCTCTCCAACTGCATAAGAGGAGAGGAGTGTCTCTGGAGCTCCACTTTTGAGATGAGGAAAATAAAGAGTAAGTTTGATGTTTCCATTCAGTGAAGTATATTGGAATGTTTATCTTAAATCAGAATTCAACACTTCAGAAAGAACTATTCTGTCAGTACTCTGTCAAATCCAAATCTCATCTTCATATTCACAATTTCATGTCAAGAAGGATTCTGTATAATTTGTGACTATGTTTAGATGAACTTAGATTTCAGCAACCAATAATCACTGGTTCCTGAGTCTCTGCTGCCTGTTATTTCTGAAGCAATAATTCTGAAGATGAATTTTTAGAGGAAGTTTGAATTCTTTTTTGTTGTTGTTGTACTGGGGATCGAACTCATGACCTTGTGTTTGCCAGGCAGGCAATTATGCCAATGAGCTAAATCCCCAGCAGTAGAGAAGTATTGATAATTGATTAAGAATGAAAAGAAGGAAACAAAGAATTCACATTAAGATTTCAAATTTTGGAGATATGAAAAACGTACATTTTTTTATTTCACATGTTAAAACATTCATATTTTAGAAACAACAAAAATAGTCTCATGAGTTCTTAAAAACATGTTATAGAAATAGTGATTTCAGGAATGCTCAGACCCACAGACTGGTCCTTGACCAACTCTACCACTATGGACTTCATACTTTGGCTCAGCCACCATAAATTTGATACTCGCTCTGTACTGTTTCCCCTCCACATGAGACAGTAGAAGTCTCAGTCAAACAACAGACCCATTCTGTTATGGATTTAAAACTGGTGGTCAGTTTAACACCTAATTAATCAGCACTATGGTGCTGAGCGTAGATGTTTCACCTAAGCAAAGTTGCCAGCATAAATAGAGACATGGAGAAGGAGAAGAGGGGTATTGAGGCATTGTAGATTCTCATACATGTTGCTGTTTAAGCCGTTGGTTCTCCTGGAGAAGCTCTGGTCCCGACATTGAACATAGCTTACTGGCTCCAGAGAGGAAGATGTGTGTTGCTTAATCTCCAGGATGAACTCTTCACACTGGCTTCCTGGCATATACTCTACTGTGCTTACAGTCACAGAAGCTTGAGGCCTCCGTGTCGCTGAGGATGGCTGTGGTGCTTTTCAGGACAGCCCTGGTCTTTATTGTGAGTGTGACTTCTCGGCTCCAGCATAGAATCCTCAACCTATCAACACATCTTCACACTGGCATAGACTTTCTAGCTTCTACCATTGACCTTTGGGCCTTCCCAGCACAGATCCAAAAAAGAGACAAGTGAGTGCTTGTGGGCTCTACACCACCCATTGGACTTGTGGGAGTTATTGTCATGAGCTCTGGGTCTTCATCTGGACTCATGCAGGACATTGCTGAGGGATTCAGGCCTTGGCTGAATATTCTGTGTCTTTGGTGTTGTGGTTTGATTTCCTGCACTTTCTTGTGTTAACTCTGGGTGACCATCATAAAATAATATTATAAATTCCATGTTCTGGTTCTAGTTGTTCTCCTCACAACCCGTGACTACAATACGTTCCCAGATACGGCAAAAGTCTGGAATAAGAGACTCAAAATGGCTGATGGAGAAGAATCATATCATAGAAACTTAAGGAAAGATCCACTGGAAGATCCAACATGGCTGAGTAGAGGAAGAGCCATATCAGAGAGACCCAGAAAAAATCAGCAAGAAACAAAGAGGAGAGAGGAAAAGTTGGCAGAGCAAAGACTTCCAGCAGCTCAGTTTCTCCAAGACAAGGTGTCTAGCAAACAGTAGCTTGGAGATGAACTGAAGTGAGAGGAAGGTACATGGGAACAAGGAGGGAAATGACAGAAGAGAAGAAAAATGGGATTAAATAATACAACTTCTGTGCCGGCTTCAGATACAGGCTTGTGGGCTGTCTACCAGGAGGCACAGTGAATAACTTCCCTAGTCTTGGAGTACTTTCACTCCAATATTACGCAATCGGAGACAGCAGGAAGAATGTGAGTCTCCAATTCCTGAGTGATCTGAATGGTAACAAGTGGTGGGGGTCTGCATCACAAGTGCCCCAAGACGTAGCCATGCAGTGCAGTCACAGGCCTAGAAACACTCTGGGAAAGGGCTGGGAGTTTGAATTTCAGTCCCAGAGCAGGCCTCTGGTGGCATCATACTGACAGGATCCTGGAGTTAATGAGGAAGAGACAATCACTGGAGACTGGCAGTTGGAGAGGAGATCAGAACGAGTCTTAGTGAAAGGCAGGAACTGATGACACAGACTCAAGAACTACTATCAGGTTACTCAGGATTGGAAGTTCACACTGGCACTGTGTTCTAACATTCAAAAGAGACTTTAAGCAGGAGCTCGAGGTATGGTATTTCTCAACTTGCTCTGATGGGCACCACTGAAATGAAATAACCTGTTAACTGCTGAAGTTGAATAAGTTGCATAGGAATATATGTACTGTCAATATAACTTTGTATATGGAACATGCTGTTTTCATGGGTGAATACTGCCATAGGTATGATAATTGAAGTAAAGATTATTTTTGAAAGAGTTTTACTTTTATTTTCATTGTAGTTCACCTAGGAAATTATTTCTACTGTTACTTATTAGATAGTATAAGCAAGTAAATAGATGATGTCAAAAATGTTGATACTTATTCTAAACACCCTTATATGTTTGATATTTTACTTTGAGATGTTAATTTCCTGCTAAATACACATTGTATAATGTAATAGAAAGCTCCTAACAAAAATGGAAGACAAGAGAGGTGACAAGTGTAACCTGCTGAAAAGGAAGGGAAGCTAAGCACATGTGCTCAATGTGAGACTTAAGTATGGAACATGCTGTTGTCATGTGTGAAGACTGCCATAGATGCATACTCCTAAAAACTAAGTGTGACATTGTACACCCTCTGTAATATACCTTTCAAACAGTTTACCATGATGGTCCTATTAATACCTGTCAATTTATCTGCTGCACTGACTATCACGTGCAGGAAATGGGGCAGCAAGTTTTTAATCCTAGAATTTGGACTATATCAAACTGCAAAATGCTTGCTACTTGACAGAAGGAGGTCCTGAGTCTGCATTAGTTCCACGTTTGCAGTAAGGGAAAACGTAAGAGTAATTGGAAGTATGAGGACTCAAAGTCTCTGGAAAAAGAACTACTTGAGAATCATTACACCATGAATTATTGGAAAATCTAAGTTGATTTCCCAGCAGGTATCTTATTGGTTTAAATTTTGTGTATATTTTTTGACATTTAATAAAGAGGAGTTCTGTTCTTTTATTGTTTCATGCAGTGTTAGGTGGTTACCCTTGTATATCTGTGCTTTCATTGGCTCTGATTTAATAGGGGTCTAGGTTCTCTCCTTTGTCTAGAGAATAGATAATGAGCATGAGAGAAACTGCAAGGACTATCATAAAATTTCTGTAAGATTGAATCTGTGGATACTGTTATAAATGGAAGCAATTCTTATGGCACACATAGGGAGTATTGAAATCACTTAAGCTAAATAACGGAAGGAGTAAATAATAGAACTGAATACACAAAGCTGAAAAATATTCATGAGGAGGAAGCATCCTACTAAAAGTTCCATATAACCACATACTCTTCTCACATTTCTAATCCCCAGCCTGCAGTAGCCCAACCCAGAAAAGGGAGGAGGGAAAAGGAGGGAAATACATATAATTAAAAATAACAGATAGATAGATAGATAGATAGATAGATAGATAGATAGATAGATTAAATAAATATAAAAGAAGGAGAATGGGAAAATAAGGAAGTAAAAGATCTAAGCTTCAAGGCTTCCCTGAGACAGACCAGCAAGTTACAGAGGGAAAAGAAATACCAGATTGCAGAAATTTACGAAGTTCTCAGAAAGAATGAAAAAAATAGATGACTTCAAAGAGGAAATGAACCAAAAATTACAGCAATTACCATTAGTATACCTATTATAACTTGAGAGAAGTAAATAGAAAACTGGATGTGCTAAACAAAACAGTTCAGACTTTGAAAGACACATCCAATGAGGATATGGAATTCTCAAAATAGGTCAGAAAAAATACCTGAAATAAAAAAATTACAGAATTAATACATTCTACAAATGGTTAGTGTGAAACAATGTCTGATATTGAGGACAAGATAGTGAATCATAATAAAGTTCATAAAGAATTGAAAAAGAAAACAAGAACAAGAGAACATTATCCAGCAACTATTATATGAAAACAAGAAGAAGAATCCAAGGCTAATTGGAATTAGAGAAAATCTAGATGATTCTATAGATAGATTCACCAACATGCTTACAGAAAATATAGAATAATATTTCCTAAATATAAAAAAATTTAAAATATAAATAACTGGTGCTAACAGAATTCCAAATAGTTATGATGAAAGTAGTGCATCAAGGTATATCCTCATTAATTTACAGATACTCACAAAAAATCAAAAAAATTTAAATGTAACTAAGGTGAAACAAAACATTGCTAGGTAAACCAATTAGGATAACTACAGACTTCTCAGTACAAACCCCAAAGGCAAAGAGCTGGAGTGAAGTATTTCAGCTCCCAAGTAACTTTCAACCCAACTTAACTGACCCAGCAAAGCTATCCTTCAAAATAGATGGAAAAATAGTAAAACAGCCAGCTCAGAAGATATGAATAGTAAGCCCGCCCTACAGAAAATACTCAAGAATATTGTCAAAAGAAACAGACAATGGATTGTACACCTCTAAAAACAAAGAGGAAATTAGGTCAATGGATTAAAAAAAAAACAACAAAAACACCAGGAAAAGTAAAATAAATGATATGTCAACAGATAAAATAGAAAATGATAGAAAATAACTAACACATCTTAGTAATATCTCAATATCAGTGGCCTCAACACTCTAATCAAAAGACACAGCTTGGCAAATTGGATCAGCAAACAATTCAACAATCCGTTGGATTAAAAAAATTTATCTAGTCCAAAAAGATAGTCAAAAACTAAAAATAAAAGGATGGAAAACAACATTCCTTGCACCAGACCCCAAAACCCAGCAGGTATAGCAGTTCTATTATCAGATATGGTAAACTTCAAATTAAAATGGATTAGAAGAGACAAGTTCATTATGTAACAGTTAAAGAAACAACCCTACAAGAAGTGATAACAATAAACATATATAATAATTATACTACTATCTTCATAAAACAAAAATTGTTGAAATTAAAAGGTCAAATAAATATTAATATGATCCTAGTAGGATATTTTAACACACCACTTCTTCAAAGAAACAAATCAACTAAACAAAAAACCAATAAAGAAACTTCACAGCTGAGCCACACTACTGAACATATGGACTTAATAGATAAATACAGAATATCCCACTCCTCTACAACAGAGTGTACATCTTTTTCAGCAACACGTGGTAGTTTTTCCAAAAATAGATCACATACTATTCCACAAACTCAGCTTAAGTAAATTTAAATAAACTGAAATCATCCCATGCATAGTATACAGTCGCTTTGCAAACAAAATAGAATTTTGGAAAACGGAAGACTTCCTGGAAAATTAACAACTCACTTTTAAATAACCAATAGACTTAATCAAAACAGAAATTTAACATTTTCTAGACATTAATGACAATAATTATACAACTCAATGAAACATTTGGGAAACTACAAAAGCAGTTCTAAGAGGAAAATTCATCACAATCAGTGCTCACTTTAGAAAAACAGAGCAGGCTCAAATTAATAATCTTATGAGAAATCTTAGGATATTCAAGAAATAACAACAAAATAGTCCCAAGCAGAAATCAATAAAATTGAGACTAAACAACTGTAAAAATTCAATGAATCAAACTGCTAGTTCTTTAAAAGAATAAATAAACATGTCTAGTTTTAGTGTTTGACAAATGCAAAGTCGGTTTTTTAACACCATTTGTCAAAGAGGCTTGCTTTCTTCCAGTGAACACGGTTTGGACCCTTGTCAAAAATAGGTCTTTGTACTTGGTTCTGCATCTTCTAATCTGTTCCATTGATTCTCAGGAGTGCGTGTTTGTTTGTTTTGTTTGATATTTTTATTTATTTGCCAGTACCATGCTAATTTTATCACAGTAGCTTCCTAGTGTAATTTCAAGTCAGGGCTTGTGATACCTCCTGCCTTGCCTTTGTTGCCTAGTTTTACTTTTGCTATTCTGCCTTTTCTATTTCCAAATGAATTTAGGAATGTTTGCTCTAGACCTATGAGATGTGCTAATGTATATTAATTAGGATTGCATTAAAGCGGTATAACTAATTTGGGAATAAAGCCATTTTCACAATGTTGGCTCTTTTTATTCATGATCAAAGGATATGTTTTCTTTTTTCTGATATCTACTTCAGTCTCCTTCTTATAGAGTGCTATAATTTTCAATATCTCCTTTCTAGATGTATCAACTGGATCAAAGTCAAAATAAGTCCAAGACCTAAATATTAAAACACAAACACTAAATGTACTAAAAGACAAGGTAGCTAGAAATGTTGAAGATGCAGGGATAGGCAGAGAGTTCATGAACAAAACCCAAACTGCATAGGATATACTTCAAAGAATCAACCACTGGAATCTAATCTTATTAAAACATTTTTGCAAATCAAACAAACCACCAACAGAGTGAAAAGACAACCCGCAGAATGGGAAAATATTTTAACCAACTGGACCTCAGCAGAGGATTTATATTTAAAATATATAAAGAATTGTCAGGTTCCCCAAAATTCAAAGACCCAATCCAAAATCAGGCATTTGAATCAACACACATTTCTCAGATGAAGAAATACAAATGGTAAATAAATATATGAAAAAAAAATGTTCAACACGAGTCATTTGAGAAATACAAATTAAAGCAACATTGAAATGCTATCTCACTATAGAAAGAATGGCTATTTTCAAGAAATCAACCAATAACAAATGCTGGTAAGGTTGTGGGGTAAAAGGAACACTTCTCCACTGTTAATAGGAGTGCAGACTTGTGCAAGCACTGTGGAAATTAATACAGATATTCCTCAAAAAACTTGGATTAGAGGTCTCATTCAACTCAGCTATTCCCCTTCTGGGTATTTTTCCAGAAGAACTGAAAACATCATACCACTGTGATATATGTGCACCCATATTTATAGCAGCATGATTTTTAATAGCTAAATCTTGGAAACAACCCAAATGCCCATCAACTGTGGAATGAATAAAAAGATGTATATTTTTACAGTGCAGTACTACTCAGCTATAAAGGATAAACTCACGCGTTTATAGACAAATGGATACAACTGGAGACCATACTCATAAGTGAAATAAATCATACATGTGTAAACATTAGATTGTGTCCCTTGTGTAAAAAAACTGAAAGATTATTTAAGATCCAAAAATGTATTATAGATATTGTGAAAGTGAAAGATGAAGAAACTGATTAAAATGAAAAAACAACGGATGGAGAAGAGAAAAAAAGGGAGGGAAAAGACTCTCTCTCTCTCTCTCTCTCTCTCTCTCTCTCTCTCTCTCTCTCTACATATATATATATATATATATATATACATACATACTACTGATCTCTATCAAAAAGAATGTTTTGTGCTTTCACTGATCACTTTTTCATGCCTATATATTGTAATCTGAGCAACTACTTTAAATATAAAAATATGCAATATATTAACCTACTATTAATTTGTTCTTAATTCTCTGTCATTTTTATTCTTTTTTGTTAAAATACAAAAGAAAAAGTGAATAAATAAATGAATAGCAAGTCTCACCAAGAGAAAAAGACTAATATCAATTCTATTAGAAATAACAAAGGTCAAATCACAACAGACTTGAAATCCAGAACACAATAACTACTTTGAAAAACCATATTCCAAAAATTAGCAAATTTTGAGGAAGTGGACACATTCCTAAATATATGAAAACCACCAAAACTAATGCAAGAAGACTATAAACATGACTAATCACCCAGTAATAAGCAACAAAATTAATTCAGTAATAAAGAATTTGCAACTATAAAAAGCCCAGGACCTTTAATTTTGTAACTTGAACAACGATTTTTAAGATGACAATATGTAATCTATTAACTAGTGATTTCCTACTGTTTATTTTTTCTGAAATTCTGTATAACTTGTACTCTTTTTCTGTTTTTTTTCTTTTTCTCCTTAAATAAAGTTTTTTAAAAAGCCCAGGACCTGACAGATTCACAGCTGAATTCTACAAAGCCTTTAAGGATGTATATCACAAATACTCCAAGCTCTTCAAAGAAATTGAAAAGGATACATTACTCTCAAAATCTTTTATAGAATCCAGCATCACTCTGAACCCAAAAGAAAATAAAAACCTAACTAAAAAAGTGACTGATAAGCCAGTATCTTTAATGGACATAGATGCAGATATCCTCAGTAAGATATTAGCAAATAGAACGTAGAACATTTCCAACCATATCATATATCATGTTTAAGTAGGCTTCATCCAGAGATAGAAGGATTATTCAGTTACATAATTCCATAAATCCAATACATCACCAAAGAAAGGAGAAAGGTCAAAAACCACATGGTTATATCAATAGATATAGAAAAGCCTTTTGACAAAATCTAGCACTCCCTCATAATAAAAAGTCTGAAGCAAATAGGCACTGAAGGACCAGAGCTGAATATGATAAAAGATATTTATGATAACCAGCAACATACTAAATGGAGAAAAATTGAAAACAATTTTCCATAAAAATTAGGAATGAGACAAGGATGTCTCATTTCTATCACCTCTGCTATTCAACATAGTACTTGAAACATTATAGGAGGAAGAGAAAGAAGTAAAAAGTATGCATACAGGAAAGGAATAACTCAAATTATCATCATTTGCAGATGACATGATAATCTACATGATAATCATAGAAGACTTAAAGAAGTCCACCCCAGAAGTCTTATAATTAATAATAAAATGCAAAAAATAGCAGAATAAATAAATCAACACAAAGACACTAGCCTTTGTGAATAACATCATGAGAAGGAAATTCTGATAACACCATTTACAACCACTTCAAAAAAATGAAATATCTAGGAATTAACCTAACCACGGAAATGAAAGAGCTCTATGAAAAAACCTACAGTACTCTAAAAGATTGAAAAGTACAATAGAAAATGGAAAGATGTTCCTTCTTCCTGGATAGGCAGAAATATTATTGTGATAATGACCATACTTCCAAAACTGTTATACAGCTTCAATGCAGCCCCAATAAAAATACCAATAGCATACTTTACAGATGTAGAGGAAAATCCTAAAATTCATGTAAAGCAAGAAGAGACCCCACATAGCAAAAGTTATTTTGGACAGTTAAGAGCAAAACAAGCAACATAGAAACAACAAACGTCAAGCTATACTACCAAGCAATAATGATTAAAATAGCATAGTACTGGAAAAAGACTCGTGGATCCGTGCAACAAAATAGAGGATATAGAAACCTCCACAGACATATTCAAGTGTTTGATCTTTGACAAAATGTCCAAAAGCATATTTTATAGGAAAAATAGCCTATTTAACAAGTGGTACTGGGAAAACTGATTATCTGTTTGCAGAAGAATGAATCTGGACCCTTATGTCTTATAATATACTAAATTTAAATCAAAGTGAATCAAAGATCTAAACAATAAAACAAACATTAAACTCTGAAAGATAAAATAGGTAAGCCATTTGAAGACATAGATATAAGAAAGGATTCTCTAAAAAGAACCTCAGTTGCACAAGAAATAACAGCAAGAATCAACAAGTAGGATTATACCAGACTGAAAATCTTGTATGCAGCTGAAGAGTCAATCAGTAAAGAGAAAACTTACAGAATGGAAAAAACAATTTGCCAGCTATTCCCCAGAGGACTAATAACTAGAATATACAAAGAACGCAAAAAAAAAAAAAAATTAAATAACTAAAATTAAAGACTCAATGAAGAAACAGGCTACAGAAATGAGCAAGAATTTCATAGAGAAAGAAATTCAAATGATCAACAAATATATGAAAATATTTTGAAAATCCATGACCATTAGAGAAATGGTAATTAAAATAATGCTGACTCCATCTTACTCTGGAAAGAATGGCAATCATTAAAAGATAAAACAATAGAATATAAAACTCTTCTTCGTTGCTTGTGGGAATGCAAACTAGTACAACCATTATGGAAATCAGTATGCAGGTTTTTCAAGGAACTGAGGTTGGAAATTCCATATGACCAGCTATTCCTTCTCAAAATGTCTGCTGTAAAGAGTTTAAGACATAATCTTACATGCTTACCAATATGTAAAGCACCACAATTCATTACACTTAAATGCTGGAAACAACTTGTATACCCATCAGTGGACAAATGAATAAAGAAAATGTGATATCTATATATAATGGAATACTACTCTGCTACCAAGAATGACAAATTTGAGGCATTTGTGAGCAAATGGATGAACCTGAAAAATATAACATTAAGTAAAATAAATCAGACAAACAAGTTTAAATATTATATAGTGTCCCCCACTTGAATGAGGCAAAGTACATACAAAGGATGAAGGATGGATATAAGGGGACAAAGGGACAGATCTTATCCAATAGGGAAGTGGTCCAAGGTAACAAGAACAAAGAGTGAAGGGAAGAGGAATAAAGATGTGCCATGTCAGTTTCCTAATAACTCCAATCCATGTAGACATTATTTGCCAAAAATTGACTAATCATATCAACAACTATGAAAAAGATGACAGGGAAATTAGAAGAGGAAGAGAGAGAGGAAGTAAGAGAAAGGAAATTAGAAAAAAAAAACTTGTAATGTATATGTAACCATTCCCCAAGATGACTGTAAACTGCACGAACACCAAACATGTTGTACTAATATAAAATTAAATTTAACAAAGGAAGTTATTTCATAAATATTTGAATAGGACAGAAGCCTAAAACATGTAAATTTACCTGTGTTCCAGAAAAGAAAAAAAGAAACTATTAATAAGTTAATTATCTAGAAAAAAACACACTTCCTGTAAGAAATTGCAATGTGCAGACAATTTTTAACAAATTTCCATTCTTTAGTAATGTCTTACCTACAATATCAAATAAAAATTAATAGTTTGATGATTGAAATATTTTCACCAATTTCATATACATATGCTACATACAAACACCTGTAAAACCGTTACTGTCTACCACAAATAATAAAACTCAAACAATCAGAAATGTGATGATGGACATGACTGTGTTTGTAATAAATGGAAACAGGATTTTTTAAACATTTCTAACTACAGGAAATAAGTAATATTTTTTACTTTTTGAACTCTGGGTTTATTC